CCAACTTCTTGGCATTTTTCTCTGCAGAGATCAGTGGTTATTTATCGTGCAGGGCAGGTGATATTGTAATTGTTTTGTTTTTCAGGCATACAGAACCTCCAGTTCTACAGGTTGCATTTCAGTATAGTATTATTGTTCCTCGGGAGGATACTGGCATTTCTGAATCAAATTCTTCCACAAGGTGTGTATATCCTAATAACTTCTGATGTACGTACCTTTTGTACTTTGTACAGTGTTTTGCATCTATGCTGTTACTTAAAGTGTAAGATCAAGTGATTTTCCAAATGATTGTGACTGAGTGTCCATATACACCAACTTTCAGATATTTGGAATGAATATCATAATATTTGTTTCAAAGTTTGAAATCATTAAAGTATAATTGTATCTCAAAAAAAAAATTTCATTGATCAGGGTCTAGATTTTGGAGAACCAGATTAGACTTGAGTAGCCCATTGGCCTATTTTTTCACCTTTTTGGACGAGGAAAAGAGTTGCGTGCTATTGGACATATCATTTGTTGAAGATTGATGAATAACTAAAGAGTTATAGCTTGTTATAATTAATTCTTTTGGTACTTGTGTTTGCTTGAAATTAGTTGTTTCAGTTGTATTATTAATAAGGAGAAATTCCATGGAAATGTCAGTTGACTTTTGCATGTTTGTGCATAATATGACTTTCCACTTAATTTAGTTGGAGATTTATTTGAGCATATTTCATTCCTGTCCTGTAGAATTCTGTGCACAGACATCATTCTTACACATGATACATATTTATTTTGCCGTTTGTGTCTCCTCTCCCTCCAGCATTAAATGCAAAAGTATCTTTAAAAAAAAGACCGATTAGTTGAAGTACAATGCGACGTAACATTTTCCATTAATAAGTGATGGGACATTTACGAATCTTAGTCCGGTTGTGAACTAGTGATTCTCATGATGTTTCACTGGTATAATAATTTTGTAGAACTACAGCAATAACACCGCTTGCACCCATCTAGAATCCTCTTTATCATGCTTAAAGTTGTAGAGTGCTAAATTTACAGATTGGTTGATTTATGAGGCAGGAATCATTCTCTCTGCAATGATTCTACTGGTGATTGATTAAAGAAGTGTCAGACTTCTGTAGCTGCTTAAGTTAAGAAAATCAATATTATCTGTTTGGAAAGAAAGAATTAATGACCGATATATTAGATTTCAATGAGAAATGGATTGGCTGGACAATTGGAGGAAAGAAAGGCAGGTACAATCATGCCGTAGCATCCACTAGGTTTTGAAGTTAACAAAGATCAGCTGCTGCATCAAAAGATCAAAATCTACATGGAACATTTGATATACTGAAAGCTTTTTTAATCATAAATAAGATTTCATAAATGGTATTGGCTATCCTTTTTTTTTGTAATTATTAGTTGCAAATATTTAGCTACAAAACATTTTGTTGAACACAGTGGTAAAATGTAGTGTATATCCGAATTTACTTTAAAAGAGATTCTGGATTTAGACTTAGTAAATATGTCTGACAGTTCTAATGATAAATAGTAAAGATGAAAATTTCTTATATTGACTTGTTAGGTTATGAGGAATTGAACTATTTTATGCCTTCTCTGCCGGCTGATGTCATACTGGGCAATGTCCTCATCTGTCTTAGTATGATGTCTCCACAGATTTTGCTTGCTTTATCTATTCAATATCTTTCACATAATTTGACATTCTGTATTTGTATATAGTTCAAAGTTTTGCCTCAAAAGACGGCTAAGAATAAGGACACTGCAGTATGGATCAGCTTCAAATATAAATGAACTCTATGACAGTGTTGATCCTGAAGCTTTGTTATCCATTCTTGTTCATAAGGTAATCTTTGTAACATCATTTTTCTTATGGTGATCTGATATCCTCTTAAAGCATTTTTGGTCTTTAAGTCAATTTCAAGTTCTTAAGCTCTTAATATTGTTGGGAGAGGCTGATCATGCAAAAATAATTCCTGAAGTTCAAAATTTGCAGATTCAGTATTTGCATGCAAGAGTGTGACCTATTGCTAATAGTTATTTCAGGTTTCTACTTAAATTGAAATTGATGTTTACGAGAGTCGAGAAGACATGACATTTAGCTTTGATATTTTCTTGTAGTAGTGTTCATATTAATAAAAAACCAGCATTGCTGTATTAAAATAATCTTATTCTTGCATACTCCTTTTTCTTTCAGGTAATTTTAGCTACCTTTAAGGAAGGGGTCAGAGAGGGCAGGATGTTGCTCCATGATTGGCTGGTCATTCTTACTGCTCAATACAATGATGCCTATAGACATGTGTACAACAACATCGGGAATGCAACTTCGCATGTTGATGTTGCTTTCTTGCAATGTCCACAATTGCAGCCCATACCTCGGCTTATTTTTGCCTTGCTGAGGAACCCTCTTCTCCGCTTACATGAAGAAGGCATTCACCCAGATTATCGAATATACTTGCAATGCCTCTTCAGGTAATTATTTCTCAAACCCATCATTTAAAAGTCTCCACTCTGATCAAAGACATTAAATAATTTTGCCCATCCATCTTTGTGTGATCTTTAGTACTTGGAAACAATGGATATTGACAATTTTCACTATGAATAGATCCAATATTTAGCGTCATGGAGATTTTTCTCATCTTCACTTATCAGAGCAACAATTTTCAATCTGACAAGTATATTGCTTATCTGACATTATCATCTAGCTTGTTATGGCTTGACTGCAACTATTTTGTGCATCAAGCATTTTCTTCCTATATGACTTGTAGTATTGTGTATAAATCTTTATTGTTCTTTGCAGTGCACTGGAGCCCACACCCCTTCAACGAGCAATATATCCATTACTTTCTTCTTACACTACACCAGACCAACAAGCATATCCACGCCACTCTTTAAGTCACGCTGCTCTCGTCACGAGCGGAAGCCCCATATTCCTCTTGGATGCCTTCACTAATATTATTGTGTACTATTCTCCGACAGCTGATTCTTCAATTCCCTTTCCTCCCCCTCATGATTGTAAGTTATCGAGTCGCTATCTCTATTGTTTAGTTTCACATTTTTGCAAGCTTGGTCGCCATTACTTTGCCTAAGCCCATAATGTTGAGTATTTAGCAACCTGAACGTATGACATAACATGTTTCAGGCCTTCTACGAGCAACAATCAACAAGTTGAAGCAAGAGAGGAATATTACACCAAAGCTTACGTTCATCCGTGGAGGGCAGGACGATGCCACTGCGTTCGAGAAATATCTCATCGAAGAGCAAAACATTGATGGAAGCGATCTTTCCAGCATCATGGGGTTTGTTTCTTTTCTTGAGGAGATCTCCCGGGGTGTACTAGAGTACCTCAAGTAGAAACTTCTTAGATCAATGCAAGGGTCAAATAGTGTCTTATTTAGAGGTAGACCATTATAACCCCAAGTGTTAGCATTATTATTACGATGTTTCATTGCTTCCGGCTTCTTTCTTTTCCTTTTCTTTCTTTTTGGGATCAGAACAGCATGCCAAAGATCATCATGATTTTGGACCCTTGTGCGTTGAAATAGCAAAATGTTGTATTCACTGTTATTAGACAGAATTTAGATAATAAAATCTTTTTTTTCCGAACAAATATTATCATTAGTAATTATTGGTATAACAGAGTCACAATAACAAGGAAAGAAACGGGTGAAAACCTCAAAATGATGATATGTATACGTGGAGTAAATTTCTCAGAAAAATCTTTTATTTTTACCCTTTTTTTTCTTATAGGCATCTCTTCTTTCTTCATTTTTTTTCAATAGATTTTTTTTTTCAAAAGATGAAATTACTCTTATGCTCCTTCGTCTTTAAACCACCACGAGGTCCTGTCCCTCTGGCCTCTCCTTCCCTCTTTTTTTGCCCTATAGACTTCTTGATCTTGTATTCAACTAGAAGCCAAGAAGACAGATGGACTTGGCACTAATGCACATTCAATCCTTGCTCTGTGCGACGTAGCCAGAGAGGGTATGAACAAAACGAGAGATGGAAGCTCGAGAGGTCAAAGGGGATGGCATAAAAGAGAATAGAAGAAGTTGTAGTCTCGATTAATGGTGATGATAATGATGATGGTGAGGATCGTGACGAAAGTGAGGCCACATGGGCGAAGATAATGATGACACGATCGGTCATCACCCTCCCCACCCCTCTTTGTCCACAATCACCTGCTCGACAGGGAAGGATGCACAAATGGAGCAAGGGTGGGGGCAAATGTAATAGGGCGAGGGCAACGATTGACAAGTATAAGAGCGATTATGTGTTTTTTTCTTTTTTAAATGGTGTTCGATGAAAATAAATAGAAAAACACTAATAGAGTAAAAAACACACGTATTGGGCTCAGAGTTATGCAAGGGCGGAAGCCCGCCCCGCTCCCTGAACACACGTATCAGGTGATCGAGCGCAGCAGCGGCGGCGGAGCAGAAGGCCATTGTGGTATTAAAGTGAATACATAATCAACCTCTTAGGTTTCAGTTAAAAGTCATTTCACTAGCATTCATTGATCTTAGGATATTACTTGGCAGCGAGCGCTCTGATCCAGAAAGAGTTGCAGTCATATAGGTCTTATTATCTGTAGCTTGTTGGAAACTCGGATGTTCTTATGATTATTATTCTTTTTCTTCAGGGAAAGAGTAGGAAGACAGAATCAGTCAAGAGGGAGAATAGGCTATGCTCCAAGAACTTAAATCGGCCTCTGGGGCCTGATTGTACCAGTAAGAGCAAGAGCATTGCTATGTTTTTCTTTCCTGCTTTTGTAGGGTCAAGACTGAATACACTGTTTTATGTTTCAATACACACCTTTGGGTTATATATATATATATATATGCAAAGCTGTTTAAATGGAATGCTGTTCTATTTGCCGTGTTTAACTTTTTTTGGCGAACCTAATTCCTGCAAAGCTGTTGACTAGTAATTTATTGACCTAATTATTCTATATTTTCTGATTTTGGAAATACAAGTCAACAGAAATTAAAGATGCTTGGCAAAACTTAGAAATACCAGCAATCGGTAGAAACTAAAGATGTTGTGTAAAACCATCCGGTGAACATGTTCTCTGCTTGATTGCGGTTCACAAACATAATTAAGTCTGATATCAAACTAACATTTATTTTAGCAGACCATATCTAATAGGTCAAGTTGCATACTTGGTATTTGCACCTGCAGTCCGAGAAACACACGCCTACTTGATCTTCTTCTTAGGCCTCAGCTGTAATTAAAAGAAAAGAAATCCGTGTGAGTCTTGCGTGGAATCGACTACCATCAAAAAAGAAAAGCTTATAAACATGTCATCGTCATCTCTGCGGATGTTTTTTTTTTTTCAGAAGAAATAGATTTACCTTCTTTGTGATGACTCTATTAAGAGAAACATTTTTAAATGACTAATAGAAATTTTTCTAAACACATTTACTTCTATCTAATTTCTAAGCATTTATATATATGAACTAAAAAACAAATTAAAAAAATTGCAAAAAATGCAGTAGATGTGTTAAAAAATAGTAGATACATGCAAATTTTAACTCTGTTAAGAGGGTCTTAACTGTTGTCATGAAAACTAATCAAACCAAACACGGCAAAGATATCAAGTATCCGAGTTCACAAATTGGTTACCTGGTTGCTGTGACCACACTTCTTTTTGCGGCAATTAACGGCCCTTGGGTGCAATCTCGCATAACATCTAGATAGAAATACAAGGATGGTTAGTAAATTGCACAGCAAACGAGGTAGACGATGGATTCATAATATCAAAGCGACCATTGGATGGTCGTAAAATAAGTAAATTGAATCTTGACTTTAGTTGACTGTCTCTTGTTGTTCAAGGATCCTCTATATGCAACCATTATATTAACATTTGCTAGAGCACCTTCAGCTTTTCAATGAACCAGTCTAAATACAAGACCATGTGTGTGACACCAAAAACAATACTACAGAAAAGCAACAACTTATATTTGGTTTAATAATATGACGTACACAATGTTAGCTAATCGATAAAAAAAAAATACAAACCAGCTCACGTGCAAAGCATAAGATATTGAAGCATTAATGTTATTCAGTAAAATGAGCTCAGTATTGATAGTAACATGGGAAGAATCAATATGTGCAATGCGAAGAGAGCATCACGGTTCTGTGCGGCGATGAAAGGAAAGATCGGCATGGAAATAAAAGATCATTGCAGACGAAATATGCCTATCATAACAGTTTAATATATGGCATCCAGGAGAAAAAAAAAGTCTTACATGCTATATGAATAAAAATAAGTGCTTAGCACATAAAATTTTGTTAATATCACAATACCAAAACTTACAAAACTTCACGCCTGACACCGCCAAAGTCGATACTTGATACTATGTAGAAAAACTCATACAAACGGCACTATCTTCAAATGGGTTACCAGTTTCAATTGTTCATAAGACATACATGGTTGAAGCCTAGAATTGGAATATAAAGCTTTTATCCCTCAACCTTTCCTTGCAAGTTTAAACAAGTCATGGCACCTGACATGTGATGCTTAATCGTGTTTTTTATCTGGCAAAAAGGATGTGCATCAAGAGAACCTAAGCCAACAAGCTGATGAATAGGCCACAACATCACAAAGAAATTTGATCAGCAACAGAGAGAACAATAAGAAACCATATGTTTAAGTTATCACCAGTAGACAATCGAAAGAAAGGTTTGCCTTCGTTTATCAGCTACAATAGATGAGAAAAATGAGTGGTGATGGCTACATCATAAAGAAATGGTTACCAGCAAACGATAAGATTCACAAGGATTCTAAAACATCACAGTAATAGCAATTTATCCAAACGTAAAACAGAACCAAGAAATTCCAAACAGGAACATGAGTTGGTAAAGAGGTCGGAAGGCTACTTACTTCCTGCAGATCATCTTTTCCTGGTTATATTTCCTGGCGAGAGCCATCAGAGAAGGCTCGATGATGCCGCCCCTCAACCTCAGCACCAGATGAAGCGTCGACTCTGCACCGTTGCAGAGAACACCACAATCCTAGTCAAAACTTCATCAGGGATCCAAAGTAAGGAGAAAGAGATATATCCACCTTTCTGGATGTTGTAGTCGGCGAGGGTCCGTCCGTCCTCGAGCTGCTTCCCAGCAAAGATCAGTCGCTGCTGGTCCGGCGGAATCCCTACATTTTTCAGCAAAATCGTAAAGGTAACATACGCAGAGCAAGAACACGAGATCTGATCGAACGAGAACCAAGCAACGACGGGCAGAGTACCTTCCTTGTCCTGGATCTTGGCCTTCACATTGTCGATGGTGTCGCTGCTCTCGACCTCGAGGGTGATGGTCTTCCCCGTAAGGGTTTTCACGAAGATCTGCATCTTTATCGTCTCTCCTCCTTCCCCCGTGAAGGAAACCCTCGCAACGCATCCACGCCGAACTCTTATAGGACCATTCAACTAGGGTTTCTCTTCCCTAGTTTCTAAGTGACGAAAGTACCCTCATTCGTCGGGTCTATTTGCTCTTTTACTCGGTTATGGCATGCGGAGTTCGGATCCGGTGTTGGTTGGGTCGAACCCAACGATTTGTTAGCTCTTAGTTGGGCCGGACCAGCACGTTTTTGGGCCACGTATATAACAGCCCATGTGAGTTAGTATTAGCAGATTAAAGATATTGTATCGGTGCTCGAACAATGTCTTTATTCTACCTGTAAATGTGAATGCTTTATGGTTTGGAGTTCATCATGCAGATTAGGTGATTACCGGAAGCCCTTCCTGCCGCTTGGAGCTGCACCACCACCTCCCACTTACTTCACACAGCTCACCCTCTCCACCAATGTCTCGCTGGCTGCCAGCTTTTCTTCGACTATATAACCACCACCGTCGCAGACAAGCTCGTCACAGCCGAATCCATCTCCTACGAGCTTCATCCATCACTCACCAGCCTGATCCAAGATGAACACCAGCGAAGCCACCGCGATCGCAAACGAGGGGTCCGATGCCAGCAGAAAAGCTCCTCTTGCTGCTCCTGCCCGCTTTCCTTTCTTTCTCAGGAAGACCGGTGCTGATGGGGGATGGCAGAGAGGCGTCGCCCTGTTCGAGTTCATCCTGAGGCTTTGCGGCATCGCTGCTACCCTCGTCGCCGCCATAACGATGGGAACCACCAACGAGACCCTCCCTTTCTTCACCGAGTTCTTTCAGTTCCACGCCAACTTCGCCGATCTGCCCGCACTCACGTCAGTAATGGTGGCTACATGCGTAGTAAGCACAGAAATCATGACTGCAATTACCAATGTTTTCGTTCGTTGTTGTCGCAGGTTCTTCGTGGTGGCGAATGCGATCGCGGCAGGTTACCTCGTCCTCTCCCTCCCCTTCTCCCTCGCCATCATGGTCCGGCCACGAGCAATCGGTCCCCGGCTTCTGCTATTCATCTGTGACACAGTAGGCTATTACTACCGATCGTCTTCGATCTACGTAGATTCAGTGTCAGCTTCTGTTCATCTCAGACATGTCTCCGAATGCAGGTAATGGTTGCTCTGACGACAGCAGCAGCCTCCGCGGCGGCGGCCATCGTGTACTTGGCTCACAACGGCGACGCCAAGGCCAACTGGATCGCCATCTGCCTGCGCTTCGATGGCTTCTGCCAGCGCATCAGCGGAGCCGTCGTGGCGTCCTTCATAGCGGTCGTCTTCTTCTTCGTCTTGGTGGTCATGTCCGCCCTTGTCATGCGGAAGCATTAGCGAGCGACGCCGTCGCTCTCTTTCTGGTGTGTGCGCAGGTCTCAAGTCCTTTGCTATCTCCTCTCCGTCGTGTTCTGTGATGCCAAAGTTCGAACGTGTTGCGTTGTGTTGTTCTGCGATTTGATACTTACACGACGATTCCATGATATTAATTTCTCTTCAAGACTTCTTTCCACACAAATAGATCATTTTCTTTATAATATAAGAGAGAAATTGGGTTGAATAATGAAGCCGGATGTGACTGAGCATATATATATATATATATATATCTGCCACATTTCTGTATTATTAATTGACTTCCAATTATATAATAATCTTAGAAATCTTCAATTATATATTATATATATAATTGATATATTTAAACTAATTCTTAGTGTAGTATATACATCATAGTTGTCCAGAGAACAAAGAGTATTGCTTTAAGAAATTAGCAATTATTGTGAGAATTTGGAAATCCCAACCTAAATTGGATATATAAGACGGCTTAATTATGGATGAACTTTACTCATATGGACATCTAATAGACCCAAAAAAATTTTGCAAATTGAATCTAAGCCTTAATGATGTTCTATGATGTATTGAAATATAGTGATGTACCGTAAAGAATTTCATCATAAATAATGGGACGTAATTTTGATAGAAGATAAAATAAAAAAAAATCATTTAAGATGATATGATATGTTAATAAGACATATATTTTTATCGTCTTTCAAGTCAAACCAGACGATATGACCAATCCAATATGGGTTGGGTTGAGCCTAAAGTGGATGCAAGTCACCTCTAACCCAAGGAACAAGCCGATGAGGTGTCAAGCTCCTCCCAAAGAAATGAGGTGGAGCTCTTGATCTGTCGAACTCTCCCGAGTTATTGTGTTCTCTTGAGCTGTGATGATTCTATGAGCTAGCAAGGTCTTTCAATTCCAAAGAGCTCCTTGGGTACTTGTGGAAGACTAAGTTGTTGGATTTTCTGAATTAGGTTCTCCGATGCTTAGGTTAGTAAAGCTCCAAGACGGAGTATCATGAGAGTTTAGAGAGATAAAGAGAGAAAGAAACCTAATATTGATAGTCGATGCTTCCTAATCGATTTTAGTTAGAAAATATATGATTTGAAAAATAGTTCATTTTATCTTTACTATTCTGTTGGTGTCAATTTCCAAATAAATTTTGCCCTTATCAATGCTGTAGTGAGAAAATTAAATTAAATACGACTACTTGTTGTTATATGACATATGCTAAGGTGCATAAGTACTGTGTAAGAATCAAACAAAAACTAATAGGGCCGAAGCACATAGTGCCTATTCATTCAGATGTTAACATATGTCGAAGAATAGTAAGGCCGAAGCACTGTTATTAATTCTATCAAGAAGTCAGAACTCAAAGAGTTCTCATGAATTATTAGCTTGAACTTATCAACATAACCAAGTAATATGTCAGTGATGTGACGGTAAACATAAACATTATCCTTATGTTTTTATTATATAAAAAAATTAATATTAAAATTTAAAATTAAATAATAATATATCAAATTTATAATGTATATCTTTCGATATCATTCAAAAATAGTGGATATGTAAGAAAAATATCCTTCCCAAAAGCAAAAACATTATGAGTGAGAATATAGATTAGAAATTTCAATTAGGCCCGTTAAGACTAAAGTTAATCAAAATTTATTCTTTTCTGAATTTGATCAAAACTCAATAGATCGAATTTAAATTCAATCAAGTAGTCAAAATATTTCATGATTAAGTCTGATCAAAATATTTAATTAAAATAAAATTAATTAATTAATTAATTTTATAATTGAGGATATAAGTAATAATAATAATTTTTAAAGAGCAAAACTATAATTTTATCTTAGGATATATAATGAAAATAGTTAATTTCTAAAGGCATAACTATTAAAGTTGAATTTAAGGACATAGATTAGATTTTTTATAATTTTTAAGGGGTAAAAGTATTATTTTCTTTGAAAACCCTAATTTTGTTTTATAGTCATCGTCGTAGTCAACGATGCAATGATCGTCTGTTGTTGGTTGCACGCCACTATCGCTCACCACCCATAACTTATGGTGGCGCAACTGTCCTCACACGATCGACCGATGAACTCATCGGTCACCTCACGGATGGGACCAGTTCTATGTCTACGGTGATCACATGATACCACATGCATTCTGATGCTTACGCACAGTGAAACAAAGTGGAGACGGGACAAAACCATTGGTTTTTGTGTAGGTTGAATGCGGCATCACATTTATTAATCCCAGATGAGATCGGAGAAGACGACAGACGAAAGAAAGATAAGGATGCACTCGTTTTCTAGAGGATATGAGTCAGAATGAGGAAAAATCTCTATTGTTGGTACAAATGTTTATATCATCTACTCAGCAGTCACCATTGTTAGTATCGTTTGTCGTGGAATTGGCTTCACGGAACGCATGGTATGGGAATCCCATCTTAGTAGATGCTCAGTTGGTCTTAGATCTTGTAGTATAAGATAACGCCTACCGAACCATTCCACACAACTAGTTTGTCGCATCGATCGCCATGGCAACCTGCTCAGATCTGCCTGCCGACGCAAAGAAGTAAGCTTCATAGTTTCTTTTCTTGCTATTCGTGAGGGAGGTGAGGGTTTAAACCGGTTCTACTGCTAGAACGGTGGATCTGAAGGTGCTTGCTACTGGTGCAGATTGGAAGGTAAGGTTGCCCTCATCACCGGTGGAGCCAGCGGCATCGGCGAGTGCACCGCCAAGCTCTTCTGCCGTCACGGAGCCAAGGTCGTCGTCGCCGACGTCCAGGACGAGCTCGGCACCGCAGTCTGCAGCGGTCTCGGCCCGGCCGCCTCCTTCATCCACTGCGACGTCACCAGCGAAGACGACGTAAGCGCCGCGGTCGACCACGCCGTCGCAAAGTTCGGCCGACTTGACATCATGTTCAACAACGCCGGTAATGCACCCGCCGCTGCTCTTGTCGTCGAGTCATTCGGCACGCAGGTATAGATACTGATGATGAGAGCGCAGGCATCACCGGCGCCGCCTGCCATAACATCCTCCAGTGCGAGAAGTCCGACTTCGAGCGGGTGGTGGGCGTCAACCTGGTGGGGCCGTTCCTGGGGACGAAGCACGCGGCTCGCGTCATGATCCCGGCGCGCAAGGGGAGCATCATCACCACCTCGAGCCTGGCGGGGGTCATCGGCGCCGCCGCCGCGCACGCGTACACCTGCTCCAAGCACGCGGTGGTGGGGCTGACGAAGAACGCGGCGGCGGAGCTGGGCCAGTTCGGCGTCCGGGTGAACTGCGTGTCTCCTGCGGCGGCGGCGACGCCGCTGGCGATGAGATACGTGGGGCTCGAGGGCGAAGCCTTCGACATGGCCATGACCGCCGTCGCCAACCTCAAAGGGGTGAGCCTGGGGACGGAGGACGTGGCCGATGCGGTGCTCTACTTGGCGAGCGACGACTCCAAGTACGTCAGTGGGCACAACCTTGTGCTCGATGGAGGATGCTCGGTGGCCTATCCTTCCTTCAATCTCTTTAAACGGGAGGAATCTCTTTAGACGGGAGGAATCTTCACACGATGGCCTCCTCTTGTGTGCTGCTGTTGGAGAGTCTTGAGCTCCATTGTGTGCTGCTGTTGAAGAGTCTTGAGCTCCGTTGTGTGCTGTTTAGGACTCCATCAATAATGGGAACATTGCTCGATACGTCGGTATCCTTTCCGTTGTGTGCTGTTTACGACTCCCATCAATAATGAGAACATTGCTCGATGTGTTGCTATCCCTTTAGCTTTTAGCTTTTAGCCTGCGTGTGTTGATAGTTTGGGCCTTAGGCGCAATCCATCAAAGCCCATATAGAGGGTAGAAATGGGCTGCACAATTAGTCAACTTCACACCTCTACTTGCAAAATGGTTAATTTTAGGAGATTACTTTTTATTATTATTGATAAGCTATATTAAGAACTTTAAATATTCATGAATTTTCCATTTATAAATAGATATATATGTCCTTAATTTATAATTTAATTTTTTTTTCTTTTTCTTCTTATTTTATGTCGAAGGTGGCATAAAATAATGAAAAAAGAAAGATGATGAAATTAGATAAACTAAAAATCAAGAGAAGGCGAGAAATAAATTTTGATATTTGTTATAATAATTAAATATTTTTAAGATGATATACATTCCATAATACCTCGAAAGATATCATATTTATTGTATTAACAAAAAAAAAAGTCATATTCCAAACATTTTCAAATTGTCTACTAAAGTGCATGGATAGTGGAGAGAATGGATGACAATAGGGTGTGCAAGCGAAGGCTATGGGGAAGAAAAAATAATAAAATTAAAATTTGTTATAAATAATAATTTATTATTTTATTAAATTTTTAAGAGATTATGAATATTAAGAATTAGATTCTAAATAAATAGGTTCCTCATTTAATTGTCATGGGCTGCCATTTTATTCATTTAAATACATTTTAGTGGGTTCATACATATCTATCCTTTCAAAAGTTGGAATATATATATATATATATATATATATATATATATATATATATATATATAGAGAGAGAGAGAGAGAGAGAGA